TACTGTTGCACGTGTAAAACTTTCTGATGCAGCCCATTGTATTGGACTTCAGTTTGATCATTCAAGTGTGATTTATTTTCAGAACTTAATATCCCTCAGCCCTGCTGTCTCTGCAGTGTGAACTCCACACTCATCATCATGTGGCCTCTCTCAGGTTTAGGCAGTGATCAATGTTGACCGATAGGGGTGTGTAGCAGTATGCATAGTAAGTGTGCAGTGTGTGCATGCATATCTATGAGTGTGTGAGTCATGCAGGTAGCATCTGTGTGTGTTTGCACAGAGGCACTGAGGTTTTTATTCACTAAATGACACAAATTTTCCACAGATGTTTCTTCTCTCTTTCAGCGAAACAATTAGACACAGTTTGTTGTTTACCTGTCCTGTGCTCAGATAAAGGCATGTTAGTGTGCACACATCTTCTGGGTGTCTGTAAGGGGGAAGGAGGACACTTATACCACAGCTGGCTGTACAGTATATGGTTGTGTGTGTGTTTTAAAGTTGAAGGTGTTTCTCCCTGTGGGCAGCAGTAATGCACATGAGGAGGGAGGCAGTGAAGCATAGCACAGCCTAGTTTACAGCAGCTCAGAGCAAATGATTCTTCCAAGGTGATTGGCTTCAGAGGACAGCCGGGGACACTGAGTATGTCTATAAAAGCTGCATTGAGGGCGAGGATATGACTGCACTCATAAAGTCCTAATGACCCCCCACCCCTTCTCTCCTTCTATCTCTCTCTTTGCATTTCTTTTGTCCCTCTTGCATCACAACCTTCTCTTTTTTCTCCTGTTAGCCTGTCTACTGCTCTGCAGCCCCACAGTGTACTGCAGCAGTAACCCACCAGAGGTGTGTGTGTGTGTGTGTGTGTGTGTGTGTGTGTGTGAGAGGGTGTGAGTGTGTGAGTGTGTGTGTGAGTGAGTCAGAGAGAGAGATAGATGTACAGTTGCAACACCCTTATCCAGGATTTCTCATTGTCATTATCATTATCGTCATTGTGTTTGGTGGCAGTGTTTGGTTTGTTCTTACGTTCGCTGAACATGAAGTCAGAGGCGATGTCGAAGGGCTGGATCTGGATGTCATACATGGAGACGGTGACGCCCTTCTGGTGGTCGCTCGAGATGAGCGTGAGAGTCTGCTGAGCTGTGCACACGTAGGAGTGCCCGGCGGGTGTCACCAGGGCCGACAGGCGGTGGGTGCTCGCTGTGTGCTTCCCCGCTGGAGAGAGAGGATGAGTCATAAATAGGAAGTAAGCATTAAGGCAGTGTAATGTAACTCGGGTTAAGGAGTGTGTGTGTAACTGGCTTCCATGTAGGCTGACTGCATGCGAAAATTAAATTGATGCAAATTCCATAATTTGGGATTGGGATGATTTTCTATACGCAATTTGGGTGAATAATAATAA